TGAAGACCTTTGACGGATTAAAACCCTTTATTGTACATTAATAATTTACTGTGCTTTTGGATGTAATTGTTTTACTTAACTTTTGAACCTACAAAATTGAAGGTTTGTTTTGTAATTGTTATAATTATTGTTGTTAGAATGACATTTGGTCGATTATTTGTGAATTACGAATAAATTTGGTATCTAAATTGGAAATTGGTTCTGTTGTTAATGTGGGTTCGTAATTTGCATAACACGGATAGTGGTGAATTGGTCACATTTATTCCACCTAGAAACTATTCTTCAACATACAGTAATCGTTTAAGTGCTCTGGAAACCTTAGCCTTTTTCCAGAGCACGTTGTATTTATGCCGGCTGTCAGATACCACCGAAATTACTTTGTGATTGTCGATTGTCGTGTGAGATATCGTAATTTTGAGGCTCGCGTCCTTCGAGTGTGCTGTTGGATAATCAGCATCATTAGGGTTCGCCTCCAAAACCGTGACTTTATGACAGACAATGCTGACGTTACCTTAAGTTCCTTTTTATCGATGACATAGTATATAGGTGAACAATGGAGGACTTTGAAGGGTCCTTCGTATACCATCTCAAGAGGTTGTCGAAGTGGGTCGCGGCGTACAAAAGCGTGTGTTCTATGCTGTAGGACAGGTTGAATGAGAACGCTGGACGACTGTGGTCGAATGAAAACAGGTTTAATTGAACGCATGGAGTTTGTAAGCATGCTCGTGTAGCAGTCTAGATTCATATTCATTGGAGCTGATGAAGAATTCACGGATCCTCCTGAGATTTGAAGTGTTGTTCGGTAAACGATTTATGCTACAGTGTATCCAATGTCGGCTTCTACTGAATTGCGAATACCGAGTAAAACATACGGAAGAGCGTCAGTCCACTGTGAAACGTTTACAGCTGATAGTGAAGCTTTCAACTGTGAATGAAAGCCTTCTACGAACCCATTTACTTGTGAGTGGTAGGCGGTCGTACTTGTCTGTACTTGTCTGAAGAGCTGAGAGAGAAGGTGAGAGGTTTGTGATTAGTAAACAGAGTAAATTCTCGGCCTTCTTCAGTGTTGCAAGTGCTATAGAGAACAAAATGTGGCTAGAAGTTCCCTACCAAAAGTGCCATACCTCGATTCAGTGCCATACAATCGTCTCATGAAGAATGCCGAAGATTGTCACATGTTGTTTACTCATTGTTTTAAGACTCCTCCGTTTGCCAATTCGGATGCGTCTACTGAAAACTTATTGGTGCATTGATGTCCTAGCGTGTGAGCATAGTTGCTTTCGCAGTTGTTGAGAAACTAATCAAGATGAGAATATACACTCATCTCATCGAGGGATATACTCCCACAGCAATCCCAGTCAACTGGTAGGGTTCCTCATTACACATAATTCAGAATCCCTCCTTCCTTCAGTCAAATGAACTCAGATTACAGAATAGACACACCCACAAATAACGACGCCCGTGTCTGTTCTGGGGTTGCTGCAGGTTCCAGGCCCACATATATGGGGGGGTTTGGGAGTGGGGTCAGCAACCACATCCCATAGAAAACAGCATTGCTAAAAAAACGCTAACCAGAATAAACAAATTAAGCCACCTGGACTCTGATCTCTGAGTTGAAGGATCTTCAATCCGAAGAATTATGACACCTTATGGCAAAAGCCGAGATCCTTCGGAAGTCACGAGACAGAGTCCCTTTCTAACAACCACAGCAACAATTAATATAGGTACATGGAATGTTCGGACAATATGGGAGACTGGGAGTATCAATGAAATAGCTGCGGAAATGAGGAGATATAACTTGACGGTTCTGGGAATCAGTGAAACCTATTGAACCTAGTGTGGACAGGAAAAGATAGATTCGGTAGGGATGTTGCTGTACTCTCGTGACGAAGAAGAAAATGCTGCACACACTGAGGGAGTTGCTCTGATGCTTTCAAGAGAAGCTCGTAAAGCACTTATAGGATGGGGATCTCTTGGATCCAGGATCAACAAAGCATCTTTGAAAACAAAGAGGGAGGGAATCACAATGAATATAATCCATTGTTATGCTCTCACCAACCATAGCAACGACGACGATAAAGATCAGTTTGATGAGAAGTGCAATCGATGATAGAGAAGTGCTCAGGAAAGGACCTGACCATCTTGATAAGAGACTCAATCGCCGAAGTCAGGATGGACAACAGAGGATATGAAGATATCATGAGACGACATGGGCTGACTGGGAGAAAGAAACGAGAATGGTGAGAGATTCGCAAATTTATGTGAATTCAACAAATTGGTTATAGGCGGCCTCATTTTACCATACAAACGCATGCATAAAGTCACATGGGTCTCACCGGATCACAGTACAAAGAACCAGATCGATCATATTTGCATCATCGAAAAATTTGGAGGATCAATGGAATACGTGAGGACCGGGAGACAAGCTAACGTAACTTCAGATCACCATTAGCTAGTGGTTGCCAAGATGAAAATGAGGCTAAGGAAGCACTGAACAACAGCTGAAACAGCATCACACAGGTTCAATGCAACATTCCGTCGACATATTGACAAGTTCTACCAATTCAAGATAGCTCTCAGCAACAGACTCCAAGCCTTATCGGATCTACTGAAGGAAGAAGAAACTACTATGAAGGACAATTGAGAAGGAATCAAAGAAGCACTAACTTCAAAGCTTCAGGAGGTTCTGAACCGCAAGAAGCATCATCATAAGGAATGAATCATGTAACGGTAGATAAATCCCCAAAATGAATGGCTCTGTAAGTCCTCGACATTGAATGCTAACCACATTAGTTTTACTGGACTCACCTAGCTGAAGGTGCTCGGCCATGCATCTGCACCAGATCACGAGTGGGAACGCCGTACTCAACTTCCCCTGCAATCGCTAGCCAGTCTAGATCAGTCGACCCTCGTTATATTGATAGCGTATCAAATATATCTTCGGACCTCCTCGATTCTGTCTTTTGATTTCATTTGATGGGTTAGATTCATATTAGGTGTTACTGGTTAAAGCGTTTTCGAACTCCAAATACTTGTGGCATTTTTAACCTTCATGGAAACCCTGGAAAAGACTCAGGAAATGAAGAACAAGGAGACGGTAATCAACAACAGCCAAACAATAACGGATAAGGTCAAGTCATAGACCGAATACACAGAAGCAAACAAACAAGTAAAGAAGAGCTTCTGAGCTGACAAGCAGAAATGTATGGAAGACCTAGCAACGACATATGGAAAAGCTGCAAGCGGAGGAAATACTAGATGGTTATGTGATACAACGAAGTAACCGGTGAGGGAATATAGTAGACCAGAAAGATCAGTTTATATAAATGAAGGCAAGCCAATCACTGAGATTCAAAAGCTGAGAAACTATTGGGTAGGTTAATTCGAGAAACCCTTGAATAGGTCAGCTATACTGAATACACCGGACATCAGAGCAGCACAGACAGACCTTCGATATATGTCACTCCATCAGAGGTATGAGAGTAACATGACCCGACGATATACCAAACGAAGTACTGAAGTTAAATATAGAGTTAGCCGCAAATATGTTGCATATCATATCCAGAAATATTTATGGGGAAGAATAAGTGACGACAGACTGGAAAACGTAATACCTCGTCTGGATACCAAAGAAAGATCGTAACCAGCTTGAGAACTACAAATAAATCATGCTTCTATTAGAGCCAAGAAAAATTTTCAACAGTGTTGTTGAGCCGGACGAAAGATTCAGTGGACGAACAACTTCGTTGTCAACAGGCCATATTCCGTAAAGATCGGTCGTGCACAGACAAAATCGTGACACTGTGTCAGTGTTGAATAATCAGTTGAATGGAACTCGTCACTATTCATTAAATTTCTTGACTGTGAAAAGGCATTTGACAATGTGGATAGGAGAACACTATGGAATATTCTTCGATACTATAGTGTACTTGATAAAATCATCAACATCATCCAGAATTCATACGTTGGACTGCTTACCCTCACCCTATCCCTTCCCTCTAGCGGTTGACTGAATTATGAAGACCTTGACACTTGACGAGAAGCACGGATTACAATAGACAGCTTGCTTGCAACTAGACAATTCGGTCTATGTGGATGATTTAGATCTTCTATCTCATACACACGAGCAAATGCAGGACAAGACATTGTGACAGAAGTCTCTATATCAGTTGGCCTCAACATACATAAGGGAAAAGCCACAAGCCTCAAATACAACACGAAGAACACCGACCCAGTCATACGTGATGGAGAAGCTCTGGAGGAGATGAAAGAGTCACGGACTTGGTCAGCATCGTTGATGAACAAGGAGGATCTGATGCAAACGTGAAGGCAAGGATTGGCAAAGAAAAGGCACCATTTTTGCAGTTGAACAAAATATATGGGACGTAAAATAAATGTCGACCAATATCGGTGTCTTAATCTTCGATACGAACGTCAAGACAGTTCTACTACTATACGGAGCGGAAACTTCTAGAACTACCACAACCGTCGTCAAAATGTACGAGTATTTATAAACAACTGTCTACACCAGATACACAGTGTCCGTTGACCGCATACCATCAGCAACAGTCTACTGTAGGAGACAACAAAACAACTTCCAACTGAAGAGGGAATCAGAAAAGATGACGAAAGTGGATAGGGCATACATTGAGGAAATGATCACACTGCATCACAAGGCAAGCGCCAACTCGGAATCCTGAAGAGAAACAGAAAAGAGGAAGACAAAGGAACACACTGTGTCGAGAATTGGAAGAAGTGAGAAGGATGAATAGCAAATGGAAAGAATTTCCCAGGACAGAGGTGGATGGCGAATGCTGGTGGGCGGCCTATGTTACTCCACGAAAGGTAACAGGCATTCGTAACAAATAACACTAAAAACAAATAAAACACTATCAGTTGAATGGCCAGGCCGCAGCCCATTAGGCATTATCAAAGACCTTTTATCTTACTAGAACAACAAGAATTGGTCCAAAATCTTATCAGCTTAATCAAGTCTGTTTGGGATATTGGTCATTGAAAAGCGCGCCTCTGTGTCAGGTGCGTTGTGTGTTTTTTCCTCAAAGTATTTGCCATAAAGATCTGCGATGTTTAGAGATGTTTATAGATTTTAAATGCTTATCTATTCTTGTTGCTTGTCACCACACCGATTTTCTTTGGTTCATAATAAGATATATTAGTCACACGTATTCGTGTAGGAAGGGATAATAACTTTCGTCTGGTTGTCATACAAAACTCATTCATTGATGTTTCTTCCCTTTTTAAGGATCTCCATTTCTCATACCCTACCACCATTAAAGATATGAAAACGCGATTATTTTCAAATGGATGGGTTTCCTATGACATCACGATCATCTGTACGCATAGTTATGGTTCTTAGTCTATATATAAGTTGATATGGGAAGTTGCATCTCGTATTGATACTCGGAAGCTGGGCAAAAGTCTATATTTTAGGCTTTAGGTCAGACCTTGCAAGGTACAACGATGCCACGTGGTCACGGAGACTTATCTAGTACCACCACTTACGTAGGTGATGCAACATATGATTCACGGATTATAATTCAGTATCACAAACATTCAGTATACGGATTGCATTCAGGCAGATACTAGATCTTGTTTTTGCTGGAAAGTCAGAAAGCATTGCCATTGGAGTATTATTTAATACTCCAGCTTATTACTGGGTACATAACCTATCTCCTAGTACTTTGCGTGGTAATTGTATTGAATCCTTTGCGCAATAAGAAAATGTTCTAAATCGCTAGATGAGATTACAGGTAAGGGGTCGTAAGCATCCGGTGAGAAACCATGACACAATAAATTCATATTATCCTGTATCTATGTGTGTTCTGGCTTTGTTTAAGAGTTTAGTCTCTAAAAAGTCGTGCGAATTATTTTCTAAGTGTATCTGTAACGGAGAACGTTGCTACCCTTGACTTATACCACTTAATGTGGTCATTCCAAATGACTTATCATAAAATCTGAGTCAACTTACGACATTTAAGTAAAGATTCTTCAGTAATTTTACGTACTTTTTGGTAGCCCTGTAACGCCCGGGCAGTATCCCAGACCTCACACAAATCAAATGAGTTGTGTGGCCCATATATATTTGGTGCCCCCTTGTACCAATGTTTATGTGGTTAAATAAATAACGACAAATTCTGCCGTTTTTCCAACGAAACCAAATGTCACTTCACTCAGTATAGCATTGATTTATCGATTTATTTGAACACATAAATATTGGTACAAGAATGCGCCAAATATATATGCGCCACACAAAACAATGAGAATTTAAGGGGAAGGAGAAAAAAAAGAGATTGATGTAGAGTGATGTAATAATAAATGGCGGGACAGACAGGTACAATCAGAAGAAATCTTTCAGTTAAGGGAGACACAACCACTTTTTATGAAGAAAGTAAAAGAAGGTTACAGCAGGATCGCCACTGGCTTCTATTCTGAGCCATATCTGATAACGTCTCTAGCCACTGTGTCACACCATCTCTCGAACCCCAGCCAGGGAGTCGCGAAGGACCAACAGAAGCCAGTCCTTTGCAGCTTTCTTTCATCCCACGACTCCATGTCATATACTGACCACCTCTCCGCTTCTTCCAACCAGTCCCAGAGTCGGCAAATGCACGACGTGGAATTCTCTGGGACGACATTCGTAGAACATGTCCAAGCCACCGAAGTCGGTGTTTCAAGATGGTGACACCGATTGCATTATCGTCTCTGTGCCCGAACACACGATGCCGAACCTCTGCATTACTAACATGGTGTTGCCACTAGATGTCAGCAATCCTTCGGAGACAACGATGATCGAACACAGAGAGTCGTCTAACGTCCTCAACTCGGAGAGAACAGGTTTTACAAGCATAGAACAAAACTGCTCTCGCCGACGCGTTGTAAATCCGACCTTTTACGGCCAGACTAACATCACGAAGGCGCCAAAGATGGCCCAGATTGGTATAAGCCGCTCTGGCTTTCACTATACGTGCATTAATCTCATCACTCACACCCCCACCAGCACTTATGCTGCTACCTAGATACACGAACTTCTCGACTACTTTTATCTGCTCACCATCCAGGGTGAGTACAGGATTAGAATCCTGCCAGTCTCCTAGAAGTACTTTGCATTTCGAAGGTGCAAAGCACATACCATACCTACGGACACTGATTGCTAACTGATTAAGTGCGGATTGCATGGCTTTGGCATTATCGCACAGTAAGACAATATCATCCACATACTGAAGGTCGAGAAGTCTTTCTCCAGTAAACAGATCCACACCGCCATTACTTACATCCATCAGAGCTGTTTCCAGAATGTCATCGATGGCGAAGTTGAAGAGGAATGGTGAGATTGGGCAACCCTGCCTAACCCCACTGCTCGAATAGAACAATGGAGAAAGGTGGTTGTATGCCCTCACTCTGCCTGAGGTGTTTGCATATAGAGCCTTTAGGATGTTGATAAACTTTTCAGGCACACCCTTCTTCAATAGACAATCCCAGAGAACAGTCCTGTCCAACGAATCGAAGGCAGCCCTAATGTCAAGAAGCATTATGATTGTTGGCCTGTGATAAGTATGACGGTGTTCTAACATTTGGCGGAGGGTGAAGATATGATCAATACATCCTCGACCAGAACGAAAACCAGCCTGCTCCTCGCGAGTCTATCTTTCTCGGCTTTTGAACAACCTACGAAGTGTGACGGAAGCCAATAGCTTGGACGCAATCGGAAGTAGACTTATCCCCCGATAGTTAATACCGGAAAGACGTGAACCCTTTTTAAAGTTAGGGACAACTATCGACTCATTCCATGATGTTGGGACACTCTCTAGCTCCCAGACCTTTGTAAACAACGTCGTCAGTTCCTTAGTCAGAAGGTTACCACCATCTTTAAAAAGAGCCGGAGGTAAGTCATCTGGGCCAGGTGATTTGTAGCGCTTCAAGAGTTGGAGTTCCTTGCGGACTTCCACCTCATTTGGTGGATCAATCGTCACCGGCCATGAGGGCAGGACAGTCTGACCGATGTTGCCGGAGCAGCAGGCCAGTTGAACTGCCCTTCGAAAAATTCTGCCCATCGTCCAAGACGTCGATGGATGTTAGTGATTGGCATCCCATCATCCTCGTAGACTGTTTCGCTCACACCAGACTTCTTGCTGCCAGTGGCTCGGATGATTTGGAAGAGCTTCCGGTAATTACCAGATGCAGCTGCTGCTTCCAGCTCATTAGCACGCTTCGACCACCAGGCTTCTCGGTCCTTACACAAGCTTTGCCCAATTTCCTTACGTAACATCCTTCGTTTGTGCTGCCTCAGCTCTAGCGCTTAGTGCGACACCGACGCCAGCAACACCAGACGAAGATGCCACAGGGTCCCCGGATAAGTGCACGTAAAACAAGCTTTTCGAAGCGACAGATAGAGATCGAATTTGTAGTACTTCACCAGAGTCTTGAATACGGGTCTCGGATAGACAGCAAACATCAATATTAAGACTTTCCAAAGACATAGACAGCCCTATCTGTTGTCCGACCTTCATAAGTGTGCGAACGTTGAAGGCAGCCAGTTTGAATGCTGCACGTGGTTTCAGAAAAACAGCTTCAGGACTCATATTCGGTGGTAACATACAATTTTCAACCGGACAGTGACTCGAGAACATTTAGATACAGTCGAATTTCCACCATAGGCGAGCTGCTGTATAAGTCGAAAAATAAGAATACACAAAGTGGGAATGAAAGAGTGAATAAATGACGTAGTAAGTAATAATAATAATAATAATAATAATAATAATAATAATTTGAATCATTTGATTGTTAATCGCAGCAAGAAGAGTATTTTCTATAAATATAGACTTCATCATAATTGTGTGTGGGCTGTAATACTACCCGGGTGCCCAAACCGAAGCAGGTGGTTTTCTTAGGGGGCCACTCCCCGAGCCTTTGACTTAAAGGTCTGACCCACAAGGCACTGAAGCATCGTCAGGAGATGCAGTCCCATGGAAGCCGGTGACCAACAATTGGTTCATACGCCATTTGTTCCTTCAGGATACCGGAGCCCATATGCACCATTGCTTTGGAATCCGGTTAAAGCGCCGGACATTCGCTTTCCGTTCTCTCATTTTCGTAAACAACACCCACGCCACGAGAAGGCAGTGAGTAGGACTTCCCTGGCAGAGGCTATATACGCGTCACTGTGTGAAAGCATTTCGAGAGAGAGGGCGAGCCCACCCCACTGTCGGCCACACCAGGGCATTTGGGGGCAATTGCCTTCATGTTACCCTTGAGTTCATTCTCCCTTTGTGTTCATTTAGGTTATTCAGTTCTCTGAAATCAAAAACTAGTATTATTTCCAATTCTTAGTTCGCTTCATATCGTATTGAAATAAAATCTATGGGTTTTTTAAAGATCTTATTACTTTATTCTGTCATTGCTTTTACCTCGGGAATAGATGCGGGTTAGTTTCATCCCCAGTGTTGTCTAAATAACATTTCTCTGATATATAAAACCCTAATTTTTTCCGATTACACAGTCACAATCCCCCCTTGCATTACCAGTTCCAGCTGTAAATAATGAATTTTTCAAATGTACCGAAAGAACTCTCCCATCTGAACGTGTTCTTAAGATGTGCTTCGGATCACTCGGCGAAAGACCCCATTATCACATACTACTGTAAGTTTTTCACTTAGTCTCAACATATGATTCCTCAGGTCTCCTGCATGCATTTCAAAAAGGTTTAAGTATGATTCAAAAATCACCCCCTATCAAGGCATTTTTGACAACTCTCATGGATAAGTTAGAAGAATTAAAAAGGAGTAATTCAAACTGTGAAGAAATTGCGAATGAAACTGTTGGGATTCCTTATGTTGAACAGTATGCCCTCAAGTTGTTTGATGCTGCTTACCAGAGGGATATAAACTCCGACTTCGGACCGTACGTATGATATGATCTTTTAACAGGCTTAAGTGCTACTGTAAAATTATTTCTTTCAGCTGCTACACTCTTAGACGTTGTTTCTGGAGCTGGAGAAGTAGGTGATGATGTGAGCTATCATTTACTCATCCGGTGATATACTTTTTTCTAATGATAGGTCGAAAAGACCAGGAAGTATGCCAAATGGAAGGCCGTTTACATCAGCAAATGCTTGAAATCTGGCGAAGTTCCAGTAGGTGGTCCTATTGCTAACACCGAAGCTGCCTACACCCCAAGTACGTTATTCTTTTGTATGTATAATAATTGAATTGTTTGCTTAGGACTTTGTTGCATATCAGTAGATTTTCTTGATTGCTTGTAAGGGAACCTTATTTGACACTCATTTACTTTTTGTGTCTAAACCGTAGTAGTTTCATTTTTGTAACGGAACTCATGCTCTTTAGTTGGTCCAGATACAGAAGCGCTACTCTTTAACCTATTTCGATAACATTATATGTGACGTATACTAGTTGTGATTACAGCTTTTCAGTTTTCTAACTCAAACCAACTGGTTTTTACTAAAGAATTCGTTTTCTCTGCCTGTTGAACAATTTTTATATGTGACATTCTGATTGCATTCACTAGCTTTCTTGAGTATACATAAGAATAAATAATTTGTACTAGTAGTTTGTGTGTCTAGTTTCATATATTTAAATAACTGCGTATTAAAATTCATACCCATTTGAATTATGCACGTGCATAAATATTCAAAGGTAATTTCCATCGCTAATTGACGTATTTTAGAGAAATTCTCGAAACTTGGGAGCACTAAACAGTGGATTTCTTTCGGTTTAAAACTATTCAGCAGTATGTTACCGTAATCCTACTCTGAATCTGTCCCTTAACCATGAGGCTTTACAGCAAAATGGGGAATCATAATTCATTGGTTTATATTTTCATGTTCAATCAATTTGTACAATAGCTCAATCCTCATCTAATGTCATCAGGGAGTCTCTATTTTTTCATAGTTCAGTTGACCTCATAGATCGCAGTCCCACATCATGACGTCTGAGAATTCATCTCGAAGCTACTTGCCAATCAACACAAAGTTATGGTTTAGTGGACTAACATCAGTTCATGATAAGTTCCCTTCTTCACAAATCCTCTTGGCGATACTTTCTTTATAATTCACATTGATGTGTAACATAAATGAACCTCAAGTTTACTCAAACTGATTCAGTCATGTTCGATTTATGGTATTTTAGTTTGAATATTTTTTCACTGATCATGTAGACTTTAAAATTCATCAACTTATGCTTTACGTACGTACGAAGTTCTACGTTATTACTGACTGACTGACTATGCTTTAAGCAAAGTTAAATAATGCTGTTATCAATATATTTAAGGAACAATAGGGTTGTATGTAATTGTTTCACTGCTTTGTAAATAATATTATTATCTTATTAAGTAAAATATGGATATCAATTTTTGAAGACTTCAACGTTTATATTTGTGCGATAACGTATGGAAAGTTGATTACCATATTCACTCTGATGATTTTACTTATCCGATTCATATACTTTCTCTATATCTATTCAACTTTTAAAACATTCCTCTGGAAATAGCTTTTTGCCTCACTGATCTTGGAAGGTTGGTGTCGCATACGGAATTGCTATTAAGTCGGAACCCCTAAATATATTAAGTAAATATTTTCTTAGTAAAATGTTTTCTTAACATCTTAGTTCTCGTTTCTCACCTATTAAATGTTACTTGATGGCTCAGATTTGTTCGATACTTACACCTAGTTCGAATATAAGAACTCATTATCTTCTTCGCTAAGCATATCACTAATGACATATTTTTTGTATTGGGACAGGAGTATAACCTCCTGCAATATGCTTTGTCCTAAAGGACATAAGAAGGTTATAAGAGAGTAAAACATTACCCTCACGTGACGAGGCTAACTAGTGACAAGTATTAATTTTAAGCAGTGAGATTATATTGGTTATACTACATACATAACGAATGTAGGATAAAGTGATTTATTAGTATGTAGATATGTTTGCTTTCTGTAACCATTACTTTCTAATTTGCTTGTGTCTTTACAATTACTTACGTCTGTTACCTTTCGTGGAGTAGCATAGGCCGCCCACCAGCATTCTCCATCCACCTCTGTCCTGGGAAATTCTTTCCATTTGCTATTCATCCTTCTCACTTCTTCCAATTCTCGACACAGTGTGTTCCTTTGTCTTCCTCTTTTCTGTTTCTCTTCAGGATTCCGAGTTGGCGCTTGCCTTGTGATGCAGTGTGATCATTTCCTCAATGTATGCCCTATCCACTTTCATCGTCTTTTTCTAATTTCTTAGTGAGATAATTACTGATTTTATTTAATGTTAATATTGCCAGAAGGCTGATTACCCTTATTTAAACTAGTCTAGACTACAATCTTGAAATAACCGCCCTGTCTTACTTCACTTTTTTATTATCAGGGTGTTCATTTCTTATTCGTCTGCCGTACTGTTAAGACGATAATGCAAGCCATTTGGAACTAATTAACTTTTCATTCGATTAAGTTCTTAGACTGGGATTATTGAACATTTATATATAGCCAATAAGAGAATTCATAACGGTACATACAAGAAGAAAGTTCTGAATATTTAATTAATTTTTTTATTGTTTGGTTATTTAGGAAAATTGTTAAAGATTGTTGTTGTAGTGACAAAATGTTTTAAGGTTTAGATAGACTTTTTACATGTGTGAAGCATTTATGTCGGAAAGTTGTGATGATCGATGTAATCTCTAAGGGGCTTGTCAACCATAATCTTTTGGATATGAAGATAACATTACCCTGTTCTCAGAAAACGTTAACAAAATAATAATAATAATAGTGTTTCCAACTTGTACATATTGATCAGTAATTAACCTTCAGGATAGCAGTGCAATTTCTAATACAATAAATGCTTACATTTTTGAAAGTGTTTAGTGCAATGTGATATGATTGAAGGTAGGATTAGAAGTAAACATACTACTAGTTAGTTTGGATATATTGGCGTATAGCTAGAATTGTAAATAATTATGGAATTGTATTTGTTTTTATTCGGAAAATTAGGTGGTAATTTAACCTTTCACAAAATTCTACTTAGGCAGTACGACAGATAGTTTTATAACATTTATTTTAAGTTTTCATTTGAAATAATTTTACTTGTGTAGATATTTCTAGACTAACAAATACAAACAATCTCTGCAACAATGAAACAAATCAACCTCATGAAGTCCCCACCACTTGCATACCTAAACAACCACCTAGTCCTGATCCATCTGCATCTGATAATAATATTACTACAAGAAATTGGTTGAATGTAGAAAAAAATATCAAATGTGCATTGAGTGCATCAAATTATCAGGATAGAGAAACAACCGTGAAATACTTGAAGCAAGCGTTAACATCACTTGGAGTTGATATCTAAATCTTAAAACAGTGTTTTAACTTTAAATTTACAGTGCAAAGATGTATTTTATAGTGATTGGAACATTGTCCCTTTTATGTGATAGTTTTTGAGAATTTATTACTGATATTTCAACAAAGTAAGCTACGATTATTATGATGATAAGAAAAACAAGTATCGTTCTGATTTTATTTACGTCCGATTTTTAAAATGAAAATACATCGATTAGTTGAGGCATTTTATTTCTTGAGACTGTCACATTGGTTCAGGGGATTTAACTTCATTACTTTTCGATATGCTTAAGAGTAGTGAACTTTTTTGGTATCGGATAAAAAACCCAGTAAATAATTTGTTGAACAAATTCTGTATATATCTGGTTCTTTATAATAGCTAGAGCTCCGGATTTAGTGTTTCTTATTATCTTTGAACTACTGCTTTATGGATTAAGTTGTAAGTGAAACTGGTAAAAAATATTGTGCGTATTTTACAGGCAATCTGTAAAAAATTATTTTTACCTGGTTTGTGATCAAGCCTCTTTCTAAGGTAGAAAGTTTTCTACATTCATTTAAACAATATACATATGACAGAATTGTATCAGATGTTCTGTTATTATCATCTCACTAAGGCAACAAACCTTTTTCACTGTTGGTTATGTAAGTGGCCCTATAGGTAATACTCCAATAACGACAAAACATTTGAATGTAATCGGTTGCTAGTGTTATACTGTTCAGGTAGATCATAACTTGTTTTATCAGCGAGTAGTCCCTGGTAACATTAATGGCTATATATTTTCGAGATACGCATGTAGATTCTGTGATTTTTTCTTAATTATTGAGAAAAAATAATTTAGTTAACCTAAAGCCGAAAGCTTACTAAGTATCTAGGGTCTTAATTTGCGGATCACTGGTCAATAGTAACATGTTTCCGAAGGTTTAAGTTAATATCAAGATAAACTGTCAAAGAAACTGGAAGGTGGTTTTAAATATTAACTTAATAACATCCAGCTAAATGTGGTGAAATAAAACAAAGATGTACAGCGTGAACAACTATAGCTATTTTCAGTAATCTACGTAGCAGCATATATTTGGTGTGGAAATGGTGGTGAGGATGCTTTACGTGTGATACTGATGGTCAATAAACAGACAAACCTGTTCACAAAGATAATATTATTTTGAATTATTCCTCTGCAATATTGACATGTTTCTGACTTCGGTGACGATCTGTCAAATATAATACAAAAAGTTATTGCCCACTCAGTTATATTCATTCCGTTTGTAATAATTTCTCAAATATAACGGGAGAATAAAAATACTTTATATTTAGCATGACATACTACAATGGGCCTGACAACTAAAATTATCCTGCCACCAAACTAGATACTCGGTCGATAGGCTGCATACAGACTGGATCGTGTTATACCAGATACACGATCAATTATAGAGAATCAGAGTATATTCCAAACGATGTTCAACACAAGCAGTGTATACTCGGTGAGCCCAACTTTATGTTGACTCATGTTGGGAGTAATTTCCGTATTTGATGAAATTTCAAGATGGTTGTTAAGTCACTGACAGCAAGATTCCCTAATTATATCACGTTAAAAGTAGAGATAAGTTTTTTATTATACAAATGGTGGAGTTAGTTGCGTTTTTGTAGTACTACTTTAGAAACTTTCCTGGCTATCTCTGTCATTCCTGTATAAATCCCATTCCGCACCATGTTTTAGCATCTTTAAGTCTATTATTATCAGACTACTTATTTTTAAAAGATTTCTGCTGTGCTAAAGTCGTCTGTCTTCGAGATTCAAGACAATGCTTCTCATCAACAAGCATCTTGAGGGTTACTGGATCATGTGATGAATACCATTCAGAAGAAATATGGACCTATCCACAACGCATTATTGGGCTTCAGCAACCTCATAAACTTCGAAATTTTGCATTTATCAGATGTAGGCTTCAAGTTGTAGCGGTATAAAAGTTCTGTTAGCTGACAGCTCAGGAATAAATTCGCGGTACGACCCCTTATATTAAGTCAAATCAGTCAGCTACAACGTAGGACCAGGCACATATGTGCATCGGTCCAGGTTGCCATACCTCATTAGCACAGCAAGATGAACACCGGATTCATAGGAGTGGTTAGGTCAAAGGTTGCAATAAGGATATAGTATAGGAAGAAAGAATTAGTTCGTAGACAGAAAGAATGAAGTGATTTTAGTCTCTTAGTTTAAGGGAAGACAGGGAGTGTATACACCGACGCCATTGTGATCGATTCTGAGCCATGTCACCAAGAGTCTCCAACCATTGGTTACGAAAGTCACGCGGACCCCAACCAAGTAGTCTGCATCTACCAACATGGCTCAGACTAGAAGTTAGTGACTTCAGGCACTGATGCCACGTTTTGGTTTGGCCGCCCCTAACTTTCTTCCAACCATCCCCTACCCCGGTTAGCATTGCACGTCGTGGTAATCGGTGTTCAGGCATACGTAATACGTGGCCCAACCATCTCAGTCGATGAAGATTCATAACCTCATCAACTGATTTACCATCATTCCCTAATACCCTGCGTCTAACCTCACTATTACTTACCCGGTGATCCCAGCAGATGCCAGCAATATTTCTAAGGCATCTGTGGTCAAATACTAGTAGCTTACGGGTGTCTTCTACTCTTAAGGGCCATGTTTCGCTGCCGTAAATTAAAACAGAACGAACTGCCGCGCAGTATACTCGTCCTTTTATTGATAGACGGATATCTCGCCTTCGCCAAAGGTGACGTAAGTTGGCAAAAGCCAAACGAGCTTTTCGAATCCGTGCTGAGATTTCGTCAGACACCAACCCATTAGGGCTGATCAGACTTCCAAGATAAGTGAAGTTGTCAACGCGTTCGACTACTTCACTCCCTATCCTTAGTTCAGGTGTTGACGCAGACCAGTCCTGAAGCAACAACTTGCATTTAGAGGGAGAGAAGCGCATCCCAAACATTCTGGCATTGTTGCTTAGTGCTACCAGAAGACTCTGCATTTTGTCAGCGTCTTCACCAAACAGGACTATGTCATCTGCGTATTCTAAGTCGATAAGTGGACCTCCTGGAAGGAGATCAATACCCGAGAATTCAGTCGACGAGAGTGTTATTTCCATCAATAGGTCTATGATGAAGTTAAACAAAAATGGAGAAAGTGGACAGCCTTGACGGACACCACTTGAGGTTGCAAAAGTAGATGACAGTTCGCCATAAGCCCTGACTCGACTAGTAGTGTTCGAGTAAAGAGCCTTCACAAGGTTTATGTACTTCTGAGGTACGCCTTTCAATGACAGACACTGCCACAGAGTCTCGCGGTCTACCGAGTCAAATGCTGCTTTTAAGTCAAGAAAGACCACCATCGTCGGACGCCGATAGGTATGCCTGTGTTCTAGAACCTGACGAATGGTGAATATGTGGTCGATGCAGCCACGACCAGGTCTAAAGCCAGCTTGGTTCTCTCGAGTTTGTAGTTCACGAGTCTTAGTTAGGCGTTTGATAATTATCGAGGCCAGTATTTTAGATACTATGTTTGTTAAACTAATCCCTCTGTGGTTGTCACAGGATGATTTTGACCCTTTCTTATATATTGGGACGATAAGTGATTGCGACCAGTCAGATGGGATAAAGTCTAATTCCCAGATCTTAGCTAAAATATTAGTCAACTTAATCGCTAAAATTGGACCACCATCCTTAAAGACCTCTGGAGCCAATCCATCTGGACCAGCTGCCCTTCCTCGTTTCAGATTAACTATAGCCTTTTGAACTTCAGCAAGAGTCGGGGGACCTACTTCAATGTTCCATTCACACTGTCTGGGAATGGAGGGTAGTTGTAGAGTAGCTGAAGGCCAGCTGAACTGTTCTAAAATGTTCCGCCCATCGTTCTAAACGTCTGGACTGGGAGCAGATGAGTGTATCGTCTTTTTCCGATATAATCTCACTTACACTTGACTTATTAATTCCAGTTTCTTTTATTAGTCTGTAAAGCTGTCTTGTGTTCCCTATAGTCGCCGCCTTTTCCATCTCTTTTGCTTTCGATGCCCACCACTGCTCACGGTCGTTTCTTAGACTTTTTCTTAACCTAGATCTGATTTGTTTTCGCTCTTCATCATGTTCAGAACCTGATGGGACGAGTTTGCGAGAATCCATCAGTGTGACAGACCTTGAAGAAATCCACTGGTTCCTTGCAACTCTGTGGTTTAAGTCACTAATAGATGTCACTGCTGTTTCCACAGCTGATTGTATGCCCTTCCAAGCAACATCTGGGTCAGCCTCGTCTTCACAACTACCTAAGTGTGACCTCAGTTGTTCCTGGAACCTACTTTTGGTTTTCTCGTTACTCAACTCAGTTCTAACGGGTCTTTTTAATGTGGCTTTTTTGCGTCCAGTGAGGCGCAAGCAGATGCGTGCCCGTATTAGGGCATGGTCGGAGTCCAAGCAGGTACTCCAGAATGAGCGACAATCTTCTACCGACCCTCTCCAACGATGACTGATGGCAATATGGTCTATTTGAGTCCATCGTTGGTTTGGTGTAGGGGGTCGCCATGTTAGACGATGTCTCTCCTTATGCTTAAAATTTGTGTTTGCTAAAAATAAACGATTGTCTGAGCATAGCTGCAGCAGACGATCACCATTATCTGTTCGCTGTGTCGGAATACTAAAATATCCACCTAAATGCCTTTCTGTTTGGTTTAAACTGCCTATCTGAGCATTAAAATCACCTGCTACGAGTACTATGTCTGAGCGTTTAGCTTTCTGAAGAAGTTCGGACAGCTTTCTGTAAAATTCATCTTTCACATCATCTGAGCTGCAGTCAGTGGGAGCGTAGGCAGAAACGACAAAAAGGCAACGACGTGTGTCCCTATCCTTCCGAGTTCTTACGTAGCCGTTCAGCCGAACAGCACATAGACGACTGTTGACGGGGATCCACTCTAGCAGTGCTTGTTCGGCCCTCATGCTTAGTGCTATGCCTACACCTGCCAGTCCACGAGAACTTGCCATCGGGTCACCAGATACACGAAGGGTGTACCTCGTTGGCTCTCCGTTTTGCCGAGGTGAGGTCAAGTGAATGACCACACTGGAATCCTGTATGCGTGTTTCGGAGACACAGCACACGTCAATGGTAAGAGACTCTAGGGTTTTAGCCAAGGAAGCCTGCTGACCGATTTGACATAGGGTTCGTACGTTGAAGGCTCCAATGTGTAGTTTGGAGCGAGGTTTCAGTAGACCTGGGACAGTATTTTGCGCACTAGAATCGTTGGCTATGGTGACACTTGAGGTGGAAGCCGAGAGAGGAAATTTAAAGTTGAAAGTCGATGTAGGAGGAATAATAGGAATTGAAGAGGAAGGTTGATTATGAATACAGTGGTCTTGAGTGCTGTTAGAGGTATGAGGGCGGTTTTCACTTCCCGGTTGCCCACACCGTGGAAGGGTTCTTCTGGAGGTACCTGAAAAGGAATTTGGATTAAAGGTGGTCTTAGTGACCTGAGAGCGTGACCGCAGTGCCCAAGGGACAACTGCTTGAGGTCGGTCACACACGACCTTGTTATGGGTAATTTTTGTGTTAGCTCCGTACTTATTGAGACCTTACCGCCGGAGACGGATATCCGTGGGATAAGGCGAGGTGTGCATTTTTAGGGTCGACCTTTTCTAACCCCACCCCTCCTTGTGGGAAGGCAGCATCGCTGTCATGCTGGTTGTCTGAAGGAAACACCTTACTGCTGTCACACCTCTGTACAGTCAGCAGTACGACTTCGCCTTCGGACCTTGGGTTTGTTGCTTTTAGTCTTACCGCTCTTCAACCGACCTGTCTGACATGGTAGGACCTTGAGGAACGGTTGTTCCAGCCAGTATAGCTCGGTTGCTTCATCACGATAGGCAAGCCCGACCACCACGTCAAGGTAGCAACAACGGTCGGGATTAAGTCAAATAGTTGATGTCGATTAGATCTTATCATCATACAATTTACACTTAGACTCTGAGTGTTGGGAAAGCATCACTGTAGCAAATACTTTTGGTAACAACTAACAATTATAAGTTGTTAAAGTTCTACTCACAAATATGTGGACGGTCATTGTTCAAGTACTTACTGCATTCCACTTTTACTTCGGTATGAAAAGTTGCTACTGTTATTTCATGGTGTGAACGCTAGAATTTATCATATAGATTTCTTGTACCATTAGGGAACTTCCAAGGGTGATTTGCTGGTCGTCAACTCATCGTTATGAGTCTTACAAATATAAGGTTTATCAGTGTGTTCATGATTCCTTATGTTTAATGTTATTCTACAAAATTCCATCAAGCCACTTAAAATACAGAATTTATTTGAGATAAACACTATTGTGGTCTTTCCCAAAAAACTATACGTTAATTGGCTCAAATGAATTCGTTGTATGTTTACATATAATAGTGGAAACAAGTCAAAATCTTTGTGGGTCTTCCGGTCAAATGAAACTCCCATGTGCTATACATTTAAACATTGTCTGGTTTCTCGAGTATTGAGTGCATATACAAATTCTGTCAATAATGCTGCTACATAAATGCTTACTGGTAGATAATATCTATCAGACTTTGTAATGCTGTTCCTCCAGTTGTTTTTTCTTAATCACTTTCCATATGATTGGTTGCAACCTCTCACAAACGTGGCGTTCCTCGTCTCCACTTCTATCATTGGTGGGCGCATAGTACTGGGTAGCATTCATTACAACCTCCTTTGTTCTGGAAAGTACTTGGATGACTCTGGATCCATGAGATTCTGATCCTGTAAGTGATTTTCATGCTTCTTTGGATAGTGGTTTCGCAACTCCTTGTGTGTGCAAGATATTTCCTTCGGCATCATGACCTGAGTACAACAGCACCTATAGAAGCTAATATTTTCTGTCCAGACTGATTGGAATGAGTTTTGTTCATTCTGAAAATCGCCAAGTTGTCTCTTCTCGTTTCCATTGCTTTTTGACTACTAAAGAATTTCGACTTTCACTATGAGGAGTAATAGTTCTTCTAAATGAAGATCCTTTGATTATCAGGGCAGAATTTAAATGAATTTATGATCAGGGTTGTTTTCTACGTGTTGAGATCGCTGACCTCATATCCAGCCTTCCTCTTTCGTCCAGGCTTTGAACCGACAGTATCCGTAGGCAGGCTGTAGGTAAGCAAATATTGTACTGTTTAATCATTTGGACAGATGTTAAATCAATAGAAGTTTTGTACTAACAAACTTTCCTGCATTAAGAAGTTTATACACTACTCAATTCGACCAAGGTTTAGAAGGACTATGTCTTTTAGTCCAAGATTTGAGGTTATCAAAATTTGGTTTGAGTAGGCGAGAGAATAAAAAACTAGTGACTTGACCAGTCAGAATTCACGACACCATAAGTTCACAACCTCCATAACAAATCATCCTTTGCTTAGAACTGATCTTTCTGTTAGAATGGTTATGGTAGTCAGATAATCTAAGTAACCACAAGACAGATCGCTGTTTCGGGATAAGTCAACAACAGAATATTATTTACAGAATTGTTAGTGATAAGGAGTATAGATAAAAGAAACCCTACATTACGATCAGTGTAATCTTTTGTTTAATGATGACGTTAGCAAAAGGCGGTCGCTCAAACTCTCTTAAGAAGCATGTACGTTTTAAATACATTTCTCTCTTCATAAGTGTCAAGACCCAAAATAAGAACAGGTAGTGAAATAGTTGGTTCCATAGACCAATACTCATGTCTTAGCGGCCGGGCGTAGGTAGGTAAAACGATAAATCAACTGACATCTTACTGCAACAACAAAAATATCCGAGCACGAGTTCAAATGACCTTACTTCCTAGATTTATGTAAGAATAAGAATTCCTATTTTTTCAGCAATGAATTTCCGAGTGTACGACAAAAGTCAGCTAGTTTCACGAAATACCGATCTTAGTCTAATAACAGCTTCAATCGGATTATCAGACATTTACTTCTGTTTATACGGCGAAAACATGAAGAAAAGTGTTTACAGTCCCATCAGCCTTCAAGATATAGTGTGAAACAGATTAAGAGAACTCGGCTGAGTTATGACAATTTAAGTCAGTTGTGGGGTAGTTGACGTGACTGTTTCTCAACCAAAGGACGAATATACTGCTCAGTAGTTCGACGTTTTCCTTTATGATGGTGGAAAGTAGTCTTTAAGAAGAACATTTTGGGTCATTAGCACTTGATCACAAATGCTTTAGGAACACAGCTCATATATATTAGGACCATCAAATTAGAAACTCTGAGGTTAGATGCAGAGCACTATGTAAGAATGACAAGCCGATAGATGACGTAGTCAATTTTTCTAAACGAAAACGTTGAACTACTGGGCAGTTTATTTGTCCTCTGGTTGAGAAATAGTGTGGTGTTTGAATGAACTAATGATTCCTTTTTACCTGTTGAATGCTTGATTTCGAATTCTAAGTACAGTACATTCGTTTGTTCTTATCTAATACTTCCTGATCCGATTACGTTCTTTCTGGGATTCTTGGTTTATACTATAATTCAAATACTCCTAATCATCATATTGGCGTCGAGATGGAGTCTGTGATGGAACGGTTGGAAATACACCCAGATTTTGAGGATTACCTTGAAAGTTTCGAAATCTGGGTTGTGACCAAGGAAGATGATGAGGATGTTAACATTGTAGCACATTTCCTCACATCGGAAAAGAAGCATATAGCTTATGAAAAACTCTGGCTTTACCGGGATATCCCATTTCGCTCCCTTATACAGCTCCGAAGGAACTATTGCTAGACTATGTTAAGTATACAAATTTCAAATGTGGTAAAGGAGGAAGATTTCGTAAAATGATTCGTGAGGATATAAAAATTTCCACTACATTACGTCATCCCAACCTAGTTCATACTCAAGATTATGCAGACAATTCATTGAGGAGTTGCGATGCAGTTCACGAAGATGGGCACAAGTTTGGTCAGTGTTTGTCCTGTGTCAGGTTCCACTCTTTTAATTCATGTAAATTTCGTAATTCTAAGTGCTTTAAATGTGGTTATATTGGACATATTCGGTCAATTTGTAATACTACGGTTCATCTTGCTGCAACTAATATTAAGACTTGTAATTCTGATTCTACTGAGTCGAGTATTTATAATGATGATTTATCTTTATCAGCGATTGCAATAGACAATGTAGAGTCACAAAGTAGTTCAGAGTTAAATGAAATCCAGAATTCTTGTGAGACAACAGTTTCTAACCAATCGATTTATCAGATTTCTCATGTTATTGTATCAAATATGACTTTTCCTAATGATTCATATATTTCTGATGACATTTCTTACAAATCTGAAGAAAATATGTTGGGTGAACATAATTATGATCGAAAACCTAATGTATTTTTGATAGATGCTGATTTTTCTAATGATCCTTTAATCTGCAATGACATTCTAATAAATTTGAGGAAACTATTTCAGGAGAATCAAATCTTGATGTTCTATCAAATATTATTTGTCCTCATAATGCATTCGTTTCTTATGAGAAACGTGTTCAGTGCGAAGCACAAGTACTAAATGAGCTCGAGTTTGATTAAAATTTAGATGATTTCATATCAACTTCTGTTTATCCTTATCACGGACTCACTTCTAATGTTTACTTTAGTCAATGTGAGAAATATGTTTTAAATGAAGTCACATTATTCATAAATTGGGGATATAAAGATCCAACATTATTTCGTGGGAAAGGATAGTGTTGGGAAATCTGTGTTTTAAATTCTAGATAGTGGTTTTGCTACTCAACCGACATGCTGATTACACAATCCCAGGAAGCAGGTGAGTGTGTTCCGATTTCGGTTGTTGATTCCAATAATATTGAGCACATTCTAGATAATACAGAGTTTTTATCCAATACAATATCGGACAGACACAGGATGAACTTAAGAAGAGGACGTACAATCGGTCACGGGCACTTAGACTCTAATTTAACCTGTGGCGGATGTGATCTTTGAATGAACTAATGATTCCTTTGTACTTGTTGAATGTTTGATTTCGAATTCTAAATACAGTATATTCGTTCGTGCTTATCTAATACTTCTTTATCCGATTACGTTCTTTCTGGGATTCTTAGTTCGTACTATAATTCGAATACCCCTAATCATCATAAATAGTCATGTCGCCAACCCCACAACTGATGCAAGTTTTCAAAATTCAATGATATTTGCTGAATCTTAAGACTATAGCGGTAAATAAATCCCCAAAATAAATAGCTCTGTAGGTCTTTGACGTAACATGCACAAAGAGGAAAGTAAGATTCTCCGATACAACACAACAGGCAGCAATAGAATTACACTTGAGTGATAAGATTTGAAATATGTAAAAGCTTTTACATATCTGAGCAGCATCATTGATGAACACGGTGGATCTGATGCAAATGTGAAGGTGCGGATTGGCGACAAGAGCAGCATATTTACAAGTGAAAACATCTGGAACTCAAAACAATTGTCAACCGACACCAAGGTCAGAATTTTCAATACAAATGTCAAAACAATTCTACTGTATGGGGTGGAAACCGAGAGAACTACGGAAACCATCATCCAGAAGATACAAGTGTTTATTAACAGCTGACTATGCAAAATACTTCGAATCCGTTTGCCAGACATTATCATCAACAACCTACTATGGGAGAAAACAAACCATATCCCAGCGGAATAAGAAATCAGGAAGAAGCGCTGGAAGTGGATAGGACACACATTGAGGAA